AGTCCATAAATAGGCAAATTATCAGTCAGTAGAAAGTTTGGAGTAAAATGTATGTACTGTCCTCTGTCTCCACATTGTCCATATTGAAGTGTGTAGGGATCATCTCCATATTTCAGATAAGGATCAGCAACTATGACATCTGCCTAAAATGCAGAAGAACAAACCCAGTCAGATTACAAGGGCGTTAGAAATGAGATTTTACAAAATGAACTGTTTCATCTAAACTGATAAAAGTTGGGGCCGAGTAGAGGGTGCAGTGTGTGGTGATATTTTATTTGTGCTGAAATGTGGTGATATTTTATTTGTATGTTAATAAAGTTTGCCCAGAGATCAGAGGAAATTGCAAGCCATTAACACAAGTTAGGCATGGGTAGCACATGCCCTTAATCTGATCACTTGGCAGGTAGGGTATCTGGTGTTCAAGGACACACTAGGGAACAGCCAAGCATGGTGACACACACCTTTAATCCCAGTACCAACCATAGAAACCTGGGGGTCTGTAGAGACAGGCAGTAGGTTGCTGGGCCCAGAGTCAATGAGAGGGCAGAACTTCAAGGCAATAAAGGCATGAGTAGACAGAAAGTAGCTCACTTTTTTGGAAGACGCAGAGCTGGGAAGAGGAAGGTTGATGGCTATCCCTATTTCCCTGATCTCTAAGGCTTTTATGCCTATATTTGGCTCCGTGTTTTTTATTTTATAAGACTGTTTAGAAATTCATCTACAGTTAGCACCCAATGTGGGGCTCAAACTCACAACCCTGAGATTAAGAGTCTCATGCTCTACCAACTGAGCTATGGGATGTTGTGCATGCTGTGAATATGTGTTGCTCTGATTGGTTGATAAATAAAATTCTGATTGGCCAGTAGCCAGGCAGGAAGTATAGGTGGAATAAGCATAGAGAATTCTGGGAAGTGGACGGTTGAGTCAGGAGATGCCAGCCTGCCATCCAGGAGCATCATGTAATGGCACACAGGTAAAACCAAGAAACATGTGGTGACATATAGATGAACAGAGATGGGCTGAGTTTAAGTGCAAGAACTAGTCAGTAGTTAGCCTGAGCTAATGGCCGAGCAGTTTTAATTAATAGAAGCCTCTGTGTGTTTACTTGGGGGATGTGAGTGGGAAAGTTGTGTCCTGACTGCAGGCAGGGACACAGCAAAACTTCAGCTACATCAGTGGGTTAAGTGCTTTCTGTTTATGAACAAGGACCAGAGTTCAGTCCCAACACCCACTTAAAAGCTGGGTATGTTCATAGTTCATGTGTTTCCACTAGTTTGGCTATTTGTCCCCGTGCTTTTTCCAATCATGGTCTCAATATCTCTCACTCATACAATCCCTCCTCTTTCTCACCAATTGGACTCCCAGAACTCCACCTGGGGCCTGGCCATGGATCTTTGCATCTGCTTCCATCAGTCATTGGATGATAGTTCTATCATGCCAGTTAGGGTGTTTGGCCATCCGTTCACCAGAGTAGATCAGTTTGGAGGCCCCCAGGCAGTGGGACCAGGACCTGTCCTTAGTGCATGAGCTGGCTTTTTGGAGCCTGGGGCCTGTGCTAGGACACTTTGCTCAGCCTGGGTGAAGGGAGTAGGGGACTGGACCTGCCTTGACTGAATCTACCAGGCTGAGCTGAATCCCCAGGGGTGTCCTTGCCCTTGAGGGGATGGGAATGGGGGACGGATTAGGGGGAGGGTGACAGTGGGCGGGTAGAGGGAGGACAGGTGAATCTGTGGCTGATATGTAAAATTAAATTAAATTATAAAATTCGAAAAAAAGCTGGGTATGGTAACCCATGTCTGTAACCCCAGTAGTGAGGTGGTAGAGACAGGCGGACCACTAGAGATTGTTCTCCAGTCAGTCTAGCCAAATTGATGACTCTCAGATTCAGTAACACACCCTGTCTCAAAAAATAAAAGGTCAAAAGCAAACAGAGGAAGACACCAAATATTGACCTCTGACTCCTACCTGAGCATGTGCACATACACACACACTCTACGAACTGTGGTTAGAATTTTAGTTGGTCTTGTAATAAAAAACCCAGAGCCAGATATCAGGGTGAAAGCTGAGAGATCAGAGAAACAAAACAAGCCACAGCCAACCTCACCTCGCCAACCTTCAGCCAATCTTGTTTTCTCAGACTGGAAGCCTCTGAGTCCTCACTGAATCTCAGCTGAACTGCCTTTTTCTTATCTCCTCATGCCTTACATTCCTTTCTCTGCCTGTCCATGTAACTTCCTGGGATTTAAGGTGTGTGTGCTTCCCAGTACTGGGATTAAGGGTGTGTGCCACCACTGCCTGACCTCTATGTCTAATCTAGTGGCTGGCTCTGTTCTCTGATCCTCAGGCAAGTTGATTAGGGTACACAATATATCACCACAACACAGAGAGAGACACACACACACACACCACACACACACACACACACACACACACACACACACACACTACATACACTATATACACATATGCACACAAACATCATGCACACTATACACACACACACACACAGAGAGGGAGAGAGAGAGAGAGAGAGAGAGAGAGAGAGAGAGAGAGAGGAAAAAGAGGCAGGTGCACAAACATGTGGACACAAACATAGTTCACACACATATATACACACATACAAAAACAGCAAAAGATAATTTATATTGCTAATTACTCACTTAATGATTAATAATTATCAGCTTTTTAAGTATTCACTTGGAAAAGGCACAAGAAACAATTTAGGGGATGGATGTGACACTTTGTCATATGATTCTTGTTTCAGCATTAAGTACTCAGATTTTGACTTTCAGGTCATCAAGACTAAAATGCTTACTTTCCTGAAATAAAATCTTCCTTTGCTGTCTTCAAACAGGTAAGTATAGGTTTGCATTACCATTTCCTGATGAAATTAAAAGTGCATTGTGGTAAGAAATTCAAAATAAAATGAGCATGAACATCAGTACCCAAACCAGAAGAAACAAAGGAGGGCTCCTCTCCCTCAATATGTTTGCACAGGGTAGCTGAAGAAATGGGATACATTTACTGAATCTCTCCAATCTATCAACTCACTTCCATATGCCCAAAGTAAACTCTGATATTCACTTGCCCACCCCTCCAGTTGGCGGTTAGGATGGGGATGGGCATGAAGTCTCTGGGTGAAGTATGAAAGTGATTATGATCAGAAGTCTGAAGGCAAGTTTATTTAAGCAGTTTTCTTAAAATTCTGTTGTTTAAACAAACTGGGGGATTAAGGTCTGGTAACCTTTGTATTTGATGTTAATTAGAATTGTTTTTGTTTTATTTGCAGTAATCATATAAGGAGAGTGTATGCAAAAAAGACCAGACTATAAAAACATAGTTTTTGAAAGCTTCATATACAAATATGGATCTACATAACTCCCCTCCTTACTACCTCCTCCAACTCCTCCCGTAATCTCCACTCTCCTTATCAAACTCATGATCTCATCTTTAATTATCATTGTTACATATATGTATACATATATATATATATATATATATATATATATATATATATATATATATATATCCTACTGAGTCATTCTAGCATTGCCCAAATGCTAATAATAAAGATAAATAAGACTGATTTTTTTCAGCTTGCTACTTGCTATGATCCGACAAACCAATCCATTTATAGAGGAATAAAACCCTGTGATCCTATCCATATGGAGATTTTGAGAGGATCTAAGAACAAAGTACATATTACACAAATGGCTTTATTATACAAATGCAATTAGAAATAAACCAACTTCAAACATTTCTAAGGTTTTCTTTAAGGTAAGATAGATAAGAATTTTAGATTTTCCAAAGTTGAGCATGTGGGAGCAACTGGAGAAATGTGTCAGACAATAAACTGCTAGAGTTTAAGTGTACATTTGCTGTATAGATTTTGTAAAAGCAACATCATTAAGATAAAATATGAGAACATTTCTCCACTTGCTCCAAAGTCTATTACCTTAGCTAGTTAGTAATTTATTAAGAGCTTGAAGAGTAGTTTTAATGTATAATAAAAATATAAAGCTAAGCATATACTCATCTTCACTTGTAGATAATACTGCAGACATGATATGTGCAATCAAACCAATTTGGGAGCGTATAACTCTCTCTCTCTGTTCAAATACCTAGGTAAAAAGAATTATTGACATGCAAATGTACAGATAATAAAACCCTTTTTACCTTTATGCTTTGGATGAGTCTTTCATCTTCTGGTACACTGGGGTTAATTGCAATGACCACACCCCCGTATCCATTTGTTTTCAGATGAACCATGGAGCTTTTCACCTCCTGCAAGAGATGCAGGCTGAGGAACAGAAGGACCTTCACCTGGTACCATGTTTGCACATGCTAAGTGAGGAAGCTAAGAAAGGAGGGTTTTTAATATGTCTGCCTCACTCAGGGATTTGGACCAAGACCAGAATATTTACATGTATTTGGTAGAGAGAAATGCTGATATCTCTTGGTGACCTTCCTTATCCAATCGAAAGACTTAGTTGTTAAATGACATGGGTATTGTGGTGAACACATTTATTGTAGTTTCTAAGACAATAGACAGTGTGGAGCTGCTAAAAAATTTTGTGAGTTAAGTTCTGTTTGCATGAGTTTATCTAGTACAACTGTAAGTCTCCCAGTGCTTAAGTGGGGAATAGAGTCCCTAAACCTGCCAAAGACTACTAGAAAAACCGGTACTGGGAGGGAAGCCATGGCTTTTTGGCATGTTCCTATCTCCAGCTGTTGACAATATCCCACTTTGCCAGCCCAGGCTTGCTGCAGCCTTTCCTGTAAAAACTTTCCATGTTATCTGGAGCATTTTAGTGTTTTTTCAGCTACCCTGAGTCATTGTAATTTTTTTTGAAAGGTTCTACAATTTATTATTGGAAAAACCGCACCATCAACTGAAACATGACCAAGTCTCCAGGTTGAAAATGGTCACCTCCATCTGGTAGGATTGATCAATGACCATGATCCGGTATAAACCCTCAGTATTGCCATTGTGTGAATCCTTATAGACCCAGCTTCATTTTCCAGTTTCTTCTCTTGGAGTCATACCTGATTTTGTTACCAGTTTTCATCCGAATCCATTGAGGAATAGAACGATTTTGCTTTTGTTTCTTGGCTGGGAATTGCTTGAGTCTGAAAGTCTTGTGAGCAGACATGGCAAGAAACCGAGTCAAGTGTAGGGCACACAATGGTGGAGGAAAGAAGAGCTTGCTATTGTATTCTGTCTCTGTTGATTCACTCAGCTTCACCAACATAATGTATCTTCTTATTAGATTTTCAATTCTCTTGTTAGCAAGAGATTGTTTTTCTGAGTTTAACTTCTCCCCCAGGCTCAGTTTCCCTACTTTGAACAAGAACACGGAGGTCTTCTAAAAAGAATGCTGTGAAGATTAAATGGAATAGCATGTGAAGCTGGGTTTGGTGCCATATACTGTTGGGTTACAGGTGGGGTAAACCATGTATCTTAAAGTCAGGAACAACAGAAAGAAAAAAGATAAGTTTCCTAGGGCTATCTATCCACTATCAAGTGGTCATCCCTGAAATCATATACATATAAGCAACACCTAATGGGCCAAGCAGATTATATTATATATCTAGGTATGTGTATGTGTACATTAATAAAAAAGGAAAAAAGCCATGATGTTGAGAGGGAGCAAGGAGTATATTTAATTAAAAATATGTATTTGTGTATAAAGAAAAAGAAACACGTATATAAAATCAGTTTTTGTAAGTTCTGTGCAAACAAAGTCCTGAACCCAGCAATAAATATTTGTTGGTTGTTTTTCCTCATTCCTCTTTATTATTGTGAAAAAGGATGAGTGTTTCTTTGTGTCCTGTGCCCCATGCCAGCGATCTGCTCTTCAGCAATACAGAACTGAGTAATGTAGGCATTGGCTCCAAAGAACTTGGAGACTTGTTATGTGGGTTGGATTGGAATACAATAAGAAATGAAAAATGGAGCAAGCAAACTTCAATAAAGGAATTATATCACACCACTTGGGGGCCCAGGAGTGGAAAAGTTTTCAGGATGAAGGGAATCAGGAAGCCTTTGGAGGAGGCTGTTCTTTAGAAAACAGAAGCGTGGAGAAGTTCATTTGCCCCGAGGAAGTCTCAGAAGTGGGGAAAATTGGTATTTGATCTCAGGCAGTTCCACCATAGGGTCTGCATATTTAAAATATATGTTACATATCCTACTTTTCAGAAGTTAGATCAGAGGAATTCATCTTGAAAATCATTCCGAGTAGTTTTGTTGTTTGTTTGCTTCCATTTAAATGAAGATTCAACAGAATGTGGATCACTAGAACCTATTTTGCATGAGAAAAAAAAGACTTACAGTTTTGTTTAAATATTGGGCCAAATAATTGACTTTCTTAGGCAGGCTTGCCTTAATAATTTCAGTTGTATAAATCTTTCAGGACTGAACTATTAATTTTGGCAATTTGATGGCAGAAATCTTTCAATGTCATTCTTCAGCAGAATCTGAACTCAAAAGTGGACAACAAATGAAAGACCTTGGTACAGCTTTCTGGAAGTGATATCTCTGTCTGTGTCTGTGACTTCACATTCTCTCCTGGATGCTTATTTCTGAAATGTCCTGTCTTCCATGGAGAGACATAACATTGAGGGTTCAAGTACAGAGGTGATAACACATCAGCTTTGTACCTCTTTTCTCCCCCAGCCTCTGTCACCCTCTTTCCTTCCTTTTTCTTTCCTGTTTTTTTTTTTTTTGAGGCAATCTTTCCTGTAGCCCAGGTTACCTCTAACTTGCTATGTAGCTCGGGATATCTTTGAACTCCTCATCTTCCCTCCTCCATTTCCCAAGTGTTGGATTACTGGTGAGCACCACTATGCCCAGCAGGTCCATCTTCCAAAGGGCCAAGTGAAAATAAATTATTAGTATTTTCCAGTCCGTAATCAAATTCACTCATTGAGAATTTAGTCTTATTTTAATGAATACCTTTTGTACTCAATTATTTTTGGGTCCCTTTTTGGTTCTGTGTGAAGCCTGCTTGCTTTTTTTTTTTTGGTTTAATTGAAGCCTCCTATTGTAACAAGTAATTTTAAGTGACATTTAACCTGGGCTAAGGGATGCTTAGGTTGGAATGCTGTTCTTGTGGATGTACGTGAGGCTGCCTCTGGAAGAGGTTAGCATCTGCATCAGTAGTACAGAGTGAAGATTATCTTCCCTCATCACATGTCTTGAGAACCCATGAAGAACACAAATGCAGAGAAAATGGACTAGAGTGATGGCTCAGCAGTTAAGAGCACATACTGCTCTTGCTAAGGACCTGGGTTCAATTCCTAGCATACATGTCAGACACTCCTATCCATTTGTAACCCTAGCTCCAGGGAACCCAATGCCTCTGGCCTCCTTGGGCACCTGACTTATATGCACACACCCCCACACAGACATAAACACATGCATATAATTAAAATTAATAAAAAGAAAATTTAAAAATGCAGAGCTAGGGCAATCCATTCTGGCTGGAATGGAGACACTCATTTTCTCTGTGAAAGAAATGTTATGGAATAATGGAAGTACTAAATCAGATAACCTAGGAAAAACACTTTGAGCAGGACTTTGACACTTAAAAAACTTAGGAAGATCCTGTCCCGGACCTCCAATCAGGACAAGAGATTCTGGCCATCTGGCAGGATCCCCTCACCCACACCGGGAAGGTTCCCCTTCTCCAAGACCCCTGGCAGACCCTGCAATCTCCACGCTCTGCCCCCATGCCCATCCGCCCGAGACCCCAGACACTTCCTGAGACTTAGAGACCAAACCCCAGCTCCCATCCCACCCCGGAGCTCACATCTGGACAAGAGAGAGAGAGGCTTCCTGAATCTGTCAGCTCTGTCTGGACCAGGAGTGCTGATAAGACCAAGAACGAATCCACAAGGAGATGGGCAGATGTCAAGGCAGAAGTACATACAACAAAATGAATAGCAATACAGCATCATCAGAAACTAGCCCTCCTCCAACAGCTAGACCTGAATATCACAAAATGGAAGAAGCAGAAGAAAGCAATCTTATGAATAACGTCATGAAGAGGGTAGAGGCTTATATAGAAGAAATCACAAATGAAATTAAGGAAAAGACAAAAAATGGGAAGATCACTATAAAAAACTAGAGGAAAGGACATATAAAGCAGAATAAAACAATAAATCCCTGAAAGAAAATCATGAAAAAGCAATGAAACAGATGAAGGAAACAGTCTAAGACCTGAAAAGGAAAATAGAAAAAATGAAGAAGACACAAACAGAGGGAATGCTGGAAATAGAAAATCTGAGTAAATGAACAGAAACTTCAGATGCAAGTATAACCAACAGAATGCAAGAGATGGAAGAGAGAATCTCTGGTGTTAAGATACAGTAGAAGAAATAGATTCATCAGTCAAAGAAAACACTAAAGCCAACAAAGTCATTACCCAAAATGTCCAAGAAATTTGGGACACCATGAAAAGACCAAACCTACAAATAATAGGGATAGAGGAAAGAGAAGAATACCAACTCAAAGGCACAGAAAATATATTCAACAAGATCATAGAAGAAAACTTTCCCAACTTAAAGAAAGAAATGCTTATGAAGATACAAGAAGCCTATAGAACACCAAACAGACTAGAACCCCCCCAAAAAATCCCCTCGCCACATAGTAATTAAACAACTAAACGTACAGAATAAAGAAAGAATATTAAGAGCAGGAAAGGAAAAAGGCCAAGTGACTTATAAAGGCAATAATAACACCCAATTTCTCAATGGAGACTTTGAAAGCCAGAAGAACCTGGACAGATGTAATGCAGACACTAAGAGACCATGGATGCCAGCCTAGACTAATATACCCAGCAAAAATTTCAGTCATCATAGACGGAGTGAACAAGACATTCCAAGACAAAGCCAGATTTAAACAATACTTATTCACAAACCCAGCCCTACAGAAAGCACTAAAAGGAAAAATTCCAACCTAAGGAAGCCAGATACACCCTCGAAAACACAGGCAACAGATAACACCACAGCAGTAAGCCCCAAAGACGAGAAGTACACACACACACTACCACCAAAAAAAAAAAAAAAAAAAAAAGGAATGAACAATCACTGGTCATTAATATCCCTTAATATCAATGGACTTAATTCACCTATAAAAAGATACAGTCTAACAGAATGGATACGAAAGCAGGACCCATCTTTCTGCTGCATGCAAGAAACACACCTCAAATTCAAAGATAGCCACTACCTAAGAATAAAAGGCTGGGAAAAGACTTTCCAATCAAATGGTCTTAAGAAGCAAGCGGGTGTAGCCATCCTAATATCCAGCAAAATAGACTTCAAACTAAAATCAATCAAAAGAGATCAAGAAGGGCATTACATACTCATCACAGGAAAGATCCACCAAGATGAAGTCTCAATTCTGAACATTTATGCCCCAAACACAAGGGCACCCACATATGTAAAAGAAACATTACTAAAGCTTAAACCACCTATAAAACCCCACACATTAATAGTGGGAGACTTCAACACCCCACTTTCACCACTGGACAGATCTCCCAAATCGAAACTTAACAGAGAAATAAAGGACTTAATTGATGTCATGACTCAAATGGTCTTAATTGATATCTACAGAACATTCCATCCTAACAAAAAAGAATATACCTTCTTCTCAGCACCCCATGGAACCCTCTCTAAAATTGACCACAAAGCAAATCTCGACAGATACAAAACAATTGGAATAACCTCCATGGTTTAAAGTTAGATTTCAACAACAACAAAAACTACAGAAAGCCTACAATCTCATGGAAACAGAATAATGCTCAACTGAATCACCAATGGGTTAAGGAAGAAATAAAGAAAGAAATCAAAGACTGTAACAGGAATCTTAGAGAGTCTTATTTATAAAATCAAACCTGTGAGCCAGGTATTGGGGTGAAGCTGGAAGATCAGAGATACAGAACAAGCCACAACTACCTCACCTTGCTGGATCCTCAGCTGGTCTTGTTTCCTCAGACTGGAGGCCTCTGAGTCCTCATCCAGAATGGGTCTCAGCTGAATTGCTGCTCAAAAGCCTGAATGCTTAACCAGGCCAAATGCTTAACCAGGCCAAATGCTTAACCAGCCAAATGCTTCTAGTTTCTGGTCTTCATGCCTTATATACCTTTCTGCTTTCTACCACCACTCCCTA